ACATCTGTAGTGCGAGAAGTGTCCGTAGGGTCGTGAACATTGGTGTAGAGGCGTAGACGGAGTCTTCGTCCTCGATCTTCTCCGAGACGATTCTATTTCGCACGCCTGGCCCTTTCTTTCTCTGGACCCACCTTGTAGGATTGCTTCTTTGATGACGTTGTCGTCGATTGTAGACGCATCTACTTCGTTGAAGACGTCATGTAGTTTCGTTTCGTTTGATTCGTGTTTCATTTCTTCCAGTAGTTGTGCTTCGTCGTAACCTTCGTTGTCAAAGATTATGGTTTGGTCTTCTGAGGTGTTGTCGTTTGTGTAGGAAGTGATGGATGTTCCGTTGGAAAGTGTTACTGCGTTAATTCTTTGTCGTAGTGGTTGTGGCTCTTTGGTTGCTTCTTCCGTTGATCTGATCGTAGTGTCCTTCGAGGTCTTTTGTGCTTTGGTCGGTTGCATTACTTCTTCCGGAGTCATGCGTCGTAGTGTTTGTCGAGGTGGTGCTGGTAGTGGTGGATGTTGCCGTCCGGTCGGTGAAGTAGCCATGGGGCTATCCGGTAGTGGTCGTGAACTTCACGTCGAGGTCGACGGAAGGCTAGAGGTGACGTAGTGCGTTGTTGTTTCGTTGCAGGTTCCGTGACAATGTCGTCCGTCGCGTTCGTCTGTTGTCCAGCATCTTGCGTAGCTCGTCTTCTGACGATTGGAGTTGCGTGTCCAACAGTGTCCGTCGTGGCGCCGAAGGTCGTATTTGAAGTCCGGTTGTAGTCTCCGTACTGTTCTTGCTTTCAGTACGCCTTGTTCTGTTGCGACGTAGTTTTCTCCGGTTTCGGAAACTTTTCCGAGCCAAATGCATTTCTGCATTCGTAGGTCTGCTTTGGAAGTTTCTCGTGTGGTGGTGGAAGGTAAAGTCTACTTGGAGCATGGGTTGTCGTGATTGTTGTTTCTTGTAGTTGTATTGGCGTCCCTTGCCTTGCACGCAAATTGGACACCAATTTCTGTATGGCAGGTGTGTCAAGTTGTGTTCTGCTATTTGTTGTGGAGTTGGTTGCTGTGGTTGTCGTACTCGTCTTGCTCTGTGCTCAGGGCTTGGGGCTTGGGCTTTTGGATTTAGGGTTTGGGGCTTGGCCTTGTGGACTTAGGGTTTGTGGCTTGGCCTTTTGGACTTAGGGTTTGGGTTTGGGCTTTTGGACTCAGGGCTTGGCGCTTGGCCTTTTGGACTTAGGGCTTGGGGCTTGGGCTTTTGGACTTAGGGTTTGGGGCTTGGCCTTTTGGACTTAGGGTTCGGGGCTTGGGCTTTTGGACTTAGGGTTTAGGGTTTGGGCTTGGGGCTTGGGCTTTTGGACTTAGGGTTTGGGGCTTGGCCTTTTGGACTTAGGGTTCGGGGCTTGGGCTTTTGGACTTAGGGTTTAGGGTTTGGGCTTTTGGGCTTGGGGCTTAGGCTTTTGGACTTGGGGTTTGGGGCTTGGGCTTTTGGACTTAGGGTTTGGGGCTGGGTGCTTCATTGATGGTGGTCGTGTTGTTGTTCCTCGTCGTCCTTCTTTATGGTGAACCCCCTTGTTGTGCCTTTCCATTGAAATGGTAGTGCTGCGTTGGCTACGACTGTCCAGTCATCTTTGCGTTGTGAAACTTCTCCAAAGTTGTTGTTGGTGATTGTAGTTCTGTGAGGTTCGAGTGTGTTTATTGGTTGGGGTGAACAACGTAGTTCTAAGTGATACGTGGTGTCTTATCCAGTGTTCACGTTGTCTTTCCCAGGAGTCTTGGTTGCCTTCTTGTGCTGTGAGTGGTCTGTGTATGGTCGCCTTTGGTTGTGTTGTATCAAGGTCTGTGGAAGGTGCTGCTTTGGGTCTCCATATCCTTTGTGGAGCTCGCAGTTGTTTTTTTGGCTTTGTTGGTAGTGTCTCCATTAGCTGTTGTGGTTGTGAGCTCTGTCTTGTTGGTGTGGTCTTTGATGTTGCCCTGCGTGTAGGTGTGATCTTTCTTCTGAATTTGGTTTCTCCCGTCCAGTTGTCACCTTCTAGTCTTCTTTGTAGTTCTTGCTTGCTCTTGTAGTTGTTCTTGCTCTTGCCCTTGTCTGTTGATGATGGTTAGTCGCCAATCATCTAGTTCTCCTTCTGGTATTGGGCAGCCGCCGTTGCTCTGATGGCGTGGCCACCTTCGAGTTTCCAGCAGTCAGTGTTTTCACCAAGGATCTGTCGCAGTCCTTGGTCTGTGTGTGTTAGTGGTGCAATTTGTTCTTGTTGTTGTTTTGCTTTCTCTGTAGGTTGAATCACGGCAATGTTTTCCATTGTCTGTAGTCATTGGGTAGATGTCGTGTCCTGTAGGAATGTCGATCTTTTCTGCCCGTAGGTAGAAGAGTCCTGAGTGTCTGATGAGGTGTGCTTGTTGTTGTCCATGCGTGATGGTGCAGTGTCGTGGATTGAAGTCGAGTCCATATCCTCTATCAAGTAGTCTTGATGCACTGGGGATAGGATACTTCACATCACAACGTAGTAGGGCATCATGATCCTGAAGTTGTCCTGCTTGTAGGGAACATACTTGATGCCGTAGACAGGGATCTTCTTTGTTGGTAACCGTGTAGAGTTACGGAACTGATTCTCCACAAGGTCGTAGTGGTAGATCTAGTGCGTAGTCCTTCGGGCAAAAATGTGTAGACAATGCTCCTGAGGCGATCAGCAGGTGGTTGTATGACTTGAAGTCGGAGTACATGATGTAGTGTGTGATGATGTCCTCAATCTTTTTTTGTCTTTGCTTTTGTGTTGCTGCTGCTATGTTGAAGGGTAGTTGTGGTGTGTCCTGTTGTAGGAATGGTTGAAAGCTTTTGCTATGGTCGTTCCATGATGTTGTGTGTGACGCTTTCTTTCCAAGCAGTGATTTGGGCTTGTGCGTGCGTGGTAGTGACTTTGCTTGTCTGATGTGTCCAATGGTGAGGTGTGACTCGTTGATGCCTCCAATGTAGTTTGCTGTTTTTTGATAGCTGTTGTCATTCCAAGCCCAGCTGTTGTCATAGTCGTAGTCGTTCCAACTCTCCTCCATGTAGTTCACCTCGTGTTCATGGTCTTCTTCTCCTTCGTAAGATCCTGAGGTAGTTTTTCACTGTTGTCCTGATCTGCTTGTTCTTGGTCTGGTGGATGTAGTTCTTCTCCTCCTCCTATGTGCCACACGGGCACTCTGCAGTCCTGGGCCCAATGGCCGGGCTTGCCACACCGGTGGCATGTTCTGTAGTTGTTGCTTCCCTTTCCTTTTGATTTGTTGTAGTTTCCTTGGCCTTTGCAGCCTTTGCTTGATCCATAGCCTTTGGATCCTGAGTAGCCTTTTCCTTTGCTCTTGTTGTATCCTCCTTTGTTGTAGCTTCCTTTGTTGCCTTTGTCAAGTCCATTGTAGTGTCCTTTGCTTCTGCATTTGCCTTTGCCTTTGCTTCCTTTGTAGTGGCCTTTGCCGTTTCCTTTGCCTTTGTAGTTTCTTCCTTTCCTCCAATTGTTGTCAACGTCCATTGGTGCAGGTCCTGCATTGTAGTTTGTGCCTACAGCTGAAGTAGCTCTTGAGAAAGCAGAGATCGTCTTATAAATAGTCCAAGATGACTGCTCTGATCTCGTTGTAGTTCGTGATCTGTCCAGCTCGCAGTTGGAGATGTTGTTGCAGTGCTCCTTTGGTTTCGTCGAGTAGTATTGCAATCTGTACTCCATCTGGTAGTGCTGCGCCGTTGTCTTTTTCGTAGCGGTTGATGTTGTATTCCCATTGTAGGAATTGCTCTTCAAACTGTGCTTCATTGAATGTAGATTCCAGTAGTTTGGTGAGGTAGCCAATGCTTCGTGTTCCTACTGGTAGGCTCTTGTAGCGGTTTTGCCTTACTACTGTCTTATGTTGATGAAGATGTAGTGTAGGTCTCTGGCAAGGTCTACTGCTTTGCTTGCTTGTGTAGGGTCGCGTATGTGTGCTCTGATGTCTGCATCCTCAACTTGTCGCGTAGCTACTTGTGCCAGTTGTAGCACCAGGTCACAGTCTCGGTCTATGAGTCCGAGATATGCTTGTAGCTTGAACAGCCATTCTTCATACTGAGGGTAGTCACCAGTGAAGAAAGGTGGTGGCAGTTTGTATTTGTGTAGTCTCTGAACGTCGTTGTCTTGTTCTGTTCCTGCTCCCGTGTTAGGATCTCAGCTCCGCTACCACGTTAAATTCAGACTGTTGTTTACTACAAGTGCAAGCGCTGTAGTGTTTTTAACGCAAACAAACCTGTAGTCTGCACAGCTCCTTTTTGCATGGGCTCTTGATGTAGTCGAAGGTAAGCTCAGTTTAGGCCTGCGGTCATGTAAAAGGTGTGTAGCGCAACACCGCATGTACTTTGACATTCTCTTATCTCGCTTTCTCTTTCTCTCTGTCTCTCTCTCTCTCTCTCTCTCTTTCTCTCTCTCTTTCTCTCTCTCTCTCTCTCTCTCCCTCCCTCGCTTTCTTTACTTCTCTCTTTTTCTCGTTATCACGCTCTCTCCTTCTCTCTCTCGCTCTCTCTCTCTCTCTCTCTCTCTCTCTCTCTCTCTCTCTCTCTCTCTCTCTCTCTCTCTCTCTCTCTCTCTCTCTCTCTCTCTCTCTCTCTCTCTCTCTCTCTCTCTCTCTTTCTCGCTCTCTCTCGCTCTCTCTCTTTCATTTTCTCTGTCTCTTCTCCGTCTCGTTTCCTTCTTATTTCTCTTTCCCCTGTTCTCGCGATGTGAAGCTTGCTCGAAGTTTTCCCCCGCCAGATGCATCTAGCCGCAATCGCGTGAGAGCTTGTTCAATTTGTCCCAGCACGGGTGTTCCTTCTAAACTTCCTTCGGTTCCTTAGCTTCAGAGTCTTGGTTTACGAAGAAAGGGCCAGGTCGACCATCCCATGTGGCTGTGGGTCAAAACCAATGGTACCATTTTGGGGTAGGTGCACCACCCATTTTACTTTATTTCAGTGGGGATTGGGATGTTCACTGGAGGTACGGGGTTTGGATTCATGGCCAGGCGCCTCCAACCCGCGTTACCTTGGCGTCCCTGAGGCGTGCTTCGGGTCTGGGCGCTGCGTGCCGCGGGGCTGCCCAGCAGCTGGCCCCTGGGCAGTCGCTCGCGCAGCGGCCTGGCCGAAGTGGGCGGTGAGCCTCATGTCTTGGTCAGGTCTCAGGGCTGAGCTTGAGATGGCCAGGTTCTTTGGTGAGCCTTTTTTCTGGGGGGCATGTGGGAAGCTGGTAGCCAGACCTTGCGAGTGCTGGCTGGCATTCACACCTCGCTGTCAAGTGTTTCAAGCTTTGACTTGTGTGGATACATAAATCCATCACTAGGGTTTGTGACATCGGGTTTGTTCCACCACCGTTTCCGTCCTCAGGTCCGTACATGAGCTTGTCACTTGCTGGCGAAGAGTGGCAGAGCTCCGTGGTGTTCCACTCCACCAGCCCTGAGTGGGACGAGATGCACGAATTTTTAGCACCTTTGGCGGCCACTTTTATGTGTTTTTTTTCTGAAAGCCGCAGGTTGCAGCTGACGCAAGCGACAAGCGTCTGAGACATGGCCTTGCGGATTTTAGACTTGAGACTGCAAGCCTCAGCAGCGCTTGCAGGTATTTGACAAGAGGCAGGAGCTGGCTATCGAAGTAGTTGACACCAACTCTCTCTTCTTGCGCACCGTGACTTGGACAGAGGAGTTGCCTGCGGGACGTGAGGGGGGCACACTGCACCGCGCTCACACTGCTCAAGACTCAAAAGGAATGCACTTACACTGCATTCCTCCGATGGTTTGTTCGCAATTTGTTCCGGCCCCATCCCTGCTGTCAATGTGATGCAGATGCCTCATAAAAGTTTTGGTCGTTTGGGTAAATTGCTTCGAGGTGATTGGGGCGGCCCAGCCATTGGCAGTGAGTTCGGCAGAGCCGTGATTGCACTTATACGCATTTGCATCATTTGCATCACGCGGGAGACTTGCAGCTGCATGCGGGCATGCCTTAGGAGTCGCAGTCAGAGAGGCCCATCAAGCTCTTTGAGTGCAACGATGACGAGGCGGAATCCAACAGATGCGAGTGACACCGAAGCCAGAACGACGTTGTTACAGGGTTGCAGCCGAGAACTTCGCGCTGCCTCATTCGCTTTGGGTCGAGAAGTGACTGGCGCCTGGCCGCAGGAGTCCATGTCCTCCGCGCCTGCTGGTACAGCATACCTGCGCTTCGAATGGCTGAACTTCGTGAGGCCAAAGGATGTTTTCGTGTTCCGGACTCTTTCACCGCTGTGCTGGGGGTGCACGAAAGCAGGGGGCTTTGTCTCTGAGTCTGCTTTGCATGGGTGGGCGTGGGTCAATATTAAGCCACCAGGGCACCGCAGATTTGAGCCCATGTTTCCACTTGCCAGGGCAAGCCATTTTGGGGTCACCCTATTTTTGACCCGCGGCCGTTGGATTTTGCGGGATAAAAATTGGTCGTGGCCAATGGTGCTTTCACCGCCCGACTGCCAGGCCAGGGCGACGGGGGCCTGATGCTCGGAGCCTGCTGCGGGTGAAGTTCGACGAATCCTTGGCCAAACGCTTCGGATGGTTCCAGGGCTCGGTGGTTCAGTGGCACCCTTTTTCCCCCTTATTTTTTGGTTTTTTTGGGGGGGGAGGGGGGGGTGGCTGCCCCACTAAAAATGGTTTTCCCCCAGAAGGGTTCCTTTTTTTTTCTCTCCAGGGTCACTGAACAACTGAGAGGGCAACCTTGGCATTGTTGATTGACCGTATGTTTGATACGCTTCGTTTCCGTCTGCCTAGCAAGCACTTCTCAAGAGTTGACTTGATACTCGAATTGGGAGTTCATAAGCCACAAAGGGAGCATGGGCTCTGTTCAGGGGATGAGTGACTTGAATTTAGCAGGTCAGGGTTTCTGAGCTGAGGAAGTCTGCGTGCCAGCCGACCTTCTAGACGTGCAAAAGGCGAGTGTCCTGGACCCAATTTGTTTGCAGATGATCGCCAAAGTGGGGCAGGCAGGACCGAGAACACACCTGAAGCAAGAGAATAGGTAGGTGGATACCTTCAGGCAATGCATGTAAACAAACGTTGAAGGGGCAAGCGTGGGACAAATGAGCACTTGCACTGTTGCTGACCTAAACTGACTCATTTGTAGTGTGGATGCATTTTGGTCCCATGTAGCTTGTAGTTTGGCAGTGGACAGGGCCCAAAAAGCTTTCGCCCCAAGCTCCTTAGCACGGCATGGCGGCCATCCTCGCAGATGGACAAGCGGACGCCTGCCGTGGCCTGGTTTCCGAGCTGCCAGCATGATGAGGCCAGCCTTTTGAGCCCAACGGCATCTCACGACCACGTTCAAAGTTGTGCGATATGTGATCAGGCCCAAAAAATGTCGTGAAACAGCACGGGCTTGCAGCAGTCACCACGCATGCCTGGAGAACCCAGAAAAGAAGTACTTTTCTTTGCTGCATTGTGTAGCTCATCATTGTGTTCGCTATGCGTTGTTCTTAGCACGCGTTGTTTCTTGCCCTCTTCTCAAAGACTCTTCATGTTCTTGATGCTCCTCTCTTAGTTTTCCCTGAAATTGTAAATGCTGCGCGCTGCCCGCCTCGGCCCGTATAAGTGGGCAATTCGGGTTAAAAAGGCAGTTTTACATTAGAAGAAGGCTTCTTATTAGAGCAAGCTAGAGAAAATGATGGCGGGGTTGGTGCAAAGTGGGTGCCAGGAACTTCAAACCGTGAGTCAAACCCAAACGGAGGCGGCCGGCCGCTTCGGTTGGCCGTCCGGCGCACGTGCGTGGCAGTCTGAGGCGAAAAAGGCAGAGCAGCATCTGGAGAAGAAAACCAAAAGAGGGAAAACTGGGGAGAGGACCAGATTTCAAAGCGTACGCTGGGAAGGGCAAGGGCTGGGCTATGCGTGGGGCTACACTCCAAACAGCTGCAGCCATAGTCCAAGCCCTCAAGAGGTTGAAGGGCGCAGGGCTGCGGCCAGGCAGAACTAGAAGCTGGGCTGGGGCAGCTTAGTGGCAGCAGGGACACAACTAGAGCCAAGCGCTGCTAGAAGGGCGTAGGCCCTGCTAGAAGGGCGCAGAGGCAGGCGAGCAAAAGTTGGCATGAGGCCCAGACATGCACGGCATGGCTATGGCTCGCTTCGGGGCAGCTGGAGGGGGCATGGGTTGGGGCCACGCGACATCCGTCGTGGGGGGGGAGGGCTTAACTGGAAAGATGAGGGGTTTGACCGCTTCCGGGCTCTGCGGGCGAGGCAAACTTAACTCGTATTTGCTTGGAACAAGCAGCTTGGAACAAGTCCGCGAAACAATGGGTGATGAAGGTGCTACGCAAATTTGCAAGTGTCCTAGGTTTGAACCAAGAGGCCGGCAGAAAGTGGCAAAACAAGTTGCACCATAGCAAGGCCTGTTTCTACTGTCGTGGCTTTTGATTCTCCAGCTGTCGGCAACATGGCCATGCCAAGCTTGCCAGCAGGGAGTTGTAGGCATTAGGCATAGGCGGCATTTTGTGCCTGACAGGCGCACGCGGCATCCGATCTCAGTGTGGGTCCAACCATCGAGGCGGACATTGAACACACGTTGTTCCTCCTCATCAACGCAGTGGACCTGGAGCGAGCTGGGCCTAATGACAGCAAGCCACCCCAAGAACCCCAGACACAACCAATTTCAAGACAGTGTCAATGCAAATGGGGAGTTGTACGACTGTCACATACAGGACTCAAAGGTCAAAGTCAAAGTGGCTTGTCGCTCTCAGCCGGTCGGTTCCTTGCAACACTGGGTGGGTTTGACAGGAGGTCGGGGTGCTCGAGCTTGAGCTGCTCGATGGCCGGGAGCTTTGCGGTTTGCGGGGCTGGAACCCGATGGAACCCCCCCCCCCGCGTGGTTCAGCTTGTTCCCTGATCCAAGTGCCTAGGCAAGGAGAAATCCCTGGGCAATGCCCACATCAACTTGTCAGACGTGGCGGTGGCGGGCCAGCTGGCGCTGCTTGGCAGTGAAAGGTGGGAATGAGCCGGCATTGAAGAACTTGCCTGCCTCGGTTTGACGGGAGATGTGTGTCAACTCCATGAAAGTGCTCCCTCCCTCCTCGCTGCGTTGACACACTCAAAGAGCCAGGTTGATGCCACTGCGGGCAGTATGCTGTGCAATTCTTGCGCTTGGATCCGAGGTGGAATGAACAAAAGCCACACACAAGGCTGCAGCTTTGTCGTGGCACAGGCGGGTAGTGATTGCCATGTCCAATCAGCGCTAAGAGCCACATGTCTGGATCCCATGCCCTTTTGGTGCGATAAACATGGTTTTAATCAAGAGGGGCTCTTTGTTATTTTGCGGGATTTTGCGCGCCTGCGTTTCCGTTTTGTAAGTTTGGGTGGTGCCATGGATTGGATCACGCGAGGCAAGCCCTGCCTGCTTGACGTGGAGGTGTCTGTGCAAGGCCTGCGAGGCTTGGCTGCAGGGCCCTGAAAACCGCGCAGCACTCGCCGGTCACGAAATGGCGAGCACTCCCGAAAGTTGTGGGAAGTGCAAGCTTGTCAACACACCCCTGGGGCAAAGGCACGACAGAAGCAAACATCATCTTGCCCTTGCTCAAATATTGCCAGATCCGCGTGTGTGTGTGTGTGTGGGTGCGTGCGTGTGTGTGTGTGTGTGTGTGTGTGTGTGTGTGTGTGTGTGTGTGTGTGTGTGTGTGTGTGTGTGTGTGTGTGTGTGTGTGTGTGTGTGTGTGTGTGTGTGTGTGTGTGTGTGTGTGTGTGTGTGTGTGTGTGTGTGTGTGTGTGTGTGTGTGTGTGTGTGTGTGTGTGTGTGTGTGTGTGTGTGTGTGTGTGTGTGTGTGTGTGTGTGTGTGTGTGTGTGTGTGTGTGTGTGTGTGTGTGTGTGTGTGTGTGTGTGTGTGTGTGTGTGTGTGTGTGTGTGTGTGTGTGTGTGTGTGTGTGTGTGTGTGTGTGTGTGTGTGTGTGTGTGTGTGTGTGTGTGTGTGTGTGTGTGTGTGTGTGTGTGTGTGTGTGTGTGTGTGTGTGTGTGTGTGTGTGTGTGTGTGTGCGTGTGTGCGTGTGTGCGTGTGTGCGTGTGTGCGTGTGCGTGTGCGCGTGTGCGCTGTGCGCGTGTGTGCGCGTGTGCGCGTGCGCGCGCGTGTGCGCGTGTGCGCGTGTGCGCGTGCGCGTGTGCGCGTGTGTGCGCGTGTGCGCGCGTGTGCGCGTGTGCGCGTGTGCGCGTGTGCGCGTGTGCGCGTGTGCGCGTGTGCGCGTGTGCGCGTGTGCGCGTGTGCGCGTGTGCGCGTGTGCGCGTGTGTGCGTGTGCGCGTGTGTGCGTGCGCGGGTGCGTGTGGGTGTGTGTGTGTGTGTGCGAAGCCTGCACTCTCATTGAACATTTTTGCGCATTGGGCGCGAATATATTGTTGAAGTTCGACTTGATTCCCTTGCAGAGCAGGTTGACGTGCAGCCTGCAGCAAACAGTTGAAGAGCCGCGTTCTGCCCATCACATCGCTTGACTGAGATTGTGAAACAGCAAGATCACTTTGATCCGCCGATTCGGCGAAACTCTCCATTTGGGATTCATGGATGTCAGGAATGGCATGGAGGCAGGGGAGGGGCGGCTTAGCCGAGCCGGGAGCTAACACTGGGCACTAAGGATCTGCCCGCGAGTGTGCCTCTCCGGGTTGATGTGAGAGCATATGAATTGTGTAAGCTGTGTCTTCTCTCTCCCAGCAAATGGAGTGATGGAATCTGCGAGTCACTTGCCTGACTCGGGCTGGTCCACTCGAAAGCTCCGCAGTTTGTTTGGTTGACCATAGCTTCTTAGAGGCAGTGCTTTGGCAACACGCAGGGTTTCCAGCTTGGCATGCCGGGCGTAGGGTCTTTCAGGAGCCGGGCTTTGGCTGGGCGTTGTATGCATCATCAGCTTTTCTCACAAGAGGGGGAAGGGTTGCGCTGGCGAGTTGGGCGCAGGCGTGGCAAGCTACAGCCCTTCCCACAAACCAAGGAGCCAAAACCGATGGTTGTGACAACAAAGCAATTGAGCTGCGACTCCGCCAGCCGGGAGCTTTCCATCAAGCGGAGCTCCGCGGGGCCGGCAATAGGCGCTGGCCAGCGGCAGTGCTAGCGACCAGGGCACCCGACCCTGGCCGCTGCGAGGTTGGCCCTCGGGTTGAGGCTGCAAGAAAGACTTCACCTTGTGCATGTTTATTTGATATTCGCGGAAACCTTGGGGGCAAGCAACAAGGCCTCAAGACACCAGATGAGTGCTGCAAACGATTTGTTTCATAGGGTCCTCTTGTTTGACAGCGTGTTGGCTGGCTGTCTTTGGAACGTCCTTTGTGCCAATTCCGGGGGAGTGCCTGGAACGGCCCAAGTGGCAGACGGCACACCGTGCGATAACGGACTTCTGGGGGCAAGGCCGAAGGCATGCTTTCCGCTGTACAAAGCGCCTGGCCTAGTTCCGTAGCTTGCGCTGCAAGCGGTTCTGCCGGCAGCTCGCCTCCCTGAAGAGGGTTCACGGAGCGTGCCTTTTGCAGAGTCACATGTCCAGAAAGGATGGCGGATGGCAAGTCTTGCGCACGCTGTACGTGGCTTTTCTGAAGCCTGAAACTTCCTGGCCCTGAACCGCACAAGCTGACCATCCTGTCCCATTGGTCCATGAGTTGACAGTAAGCCTGACGGCATCCAATGTGATGCTCTTCACTGTAGAGACTTGCGGCTAGCCTTTCTTCTTTCAGGTCTATGTCACGCAGGTCGACGACCAGCTCCGCGCTTAGGGAAGCTTCAGGTTAAACTTGTGCCTTGGTGAGACGTAGGCCCAACCACTCAAGTAAAGCGTTGCGACTAAATAAACCGTTCGATATTGGGATGTGAACGACTTCCAGTCACTTATGCAAACAGTATGCAACCATGAATGACCCTTTCGCTGCGCATGCTGAGGAAAAGGGCCGTCGTCGTCACCTTTGCAGCGGACAAGAAGGCCTGCTGCCCTAGCAATTGCAGGATGTCAGCGCAGCTCAAGACTCCATGTCAATGTCAGCGTGCAGCGTGCGTGGATCCCCTTGTCTTCAGCATTTGGTCAAAGCTCAGAAAGCTTCGATACCCAGAAGGGCTTGTGGTCTCACAAGGCGCAGGCTGCGCAGTTCGCCTCCCGAGGTTTGGAAAGAGGTGCCGTACTCAAAGCTTGGACGGTCTGCTTCTTAGCCCCCCTCAGCGCACATGGACAATGTCACTACTGCCTGTTGCCATTTCGGGCGTGGCCGGGTTGCGCAGAACAGCTCGGAGCTCAGGAAAGGCTGTCCGCTACAGCCCCTGTCCAAGGCAGGAAGCGCTTTCTCAGCTGTCCCGTTTGTGGCAATGGCCTTTTGGCAGAGTCAGGGAAGCTTTCTCCGCAAGCTGGCCCAAAAGACTGGCTGGCAATCTGCGAGCCGCATGCTTTGGTTGCCAAGACTCAGGCCTGTTGAAAAGGATCCACGCTTAGCATGACTTCCAGCCCCCAAGTGGCGCGCAAAGTCCAAAGACGCCCTCGTCAATGCGCCTTTGCCATGGCGAGTCGAGCGTTGCTGGCGGGCGAGCTGGTCTACCGGGACTTCCGGGATGCGGACGATGAGGGGTGCAAGGCCTTGGAGATGCGAGCCATGCAAGGCGCCGACCACGGGGTGCGTCCCACATGCTCCGCCGCCCTTGTTTGAACCACTGTATGGCCATTGCGCGGTAAATGTCTATGCATATAAACATGGACAAGTCGATAGATATCAATGGAACCAACAGCTAGACAGACAGACAGACAGACAGACAGACAGACAGACAGACAGACAGACAGAGAGAGAGACAGACAGACAGACAGACAGACAGACAGACAGACAGACAGACAGACAGACTATTGTAGATAATTGCTGGACCTAGATGGAAGATAGACCGACCGACCAACAGACAGACAGACAGACAGACAGACAGAGAGAGAGTGATGCATAGATACAGAGATACAGGATATTACGTAGTCTTTCATCCATGTGTCTAGCTATGTGTGTATATGTATAGATATATATACATAGACACACACATATATATATATATATGTATATTTGTATGTAGATCCGAGGTGGATCGAACCGGCGGAAGGAAGGAATCTATGCATACATACATTTATATCTATATGTATGTACATATGCGTGCGTGTTGTGCTGTGAAGGGCTGGGTGGGCATGTGTCCCATGGTCGGGCCAAGACACTTGCTTACTTTGAGTTGATGGAGGCAGTGATGCTGCATGTAGGGGGGATTGTTTGTCTTCAATGACAGGGATGTCCATGCCCACGACATTGCATGACCCACAACAGGCGTTTTGAACGTGTGAGCTTTGCAGTGGGGTGTGTGCTCTGTGGGTGCCGCGAGAGATGAGGTAGTCGCTTTCCTTGGCTTCAATCATTTACGCGCATTTTCCTCCGTGGCGGCTTTGAGCACTTTGTCACCTTTGACGCAAAGCCAAAGCAGTACGAGGACAAGGTCTCACACTCCTTGGAGACACAGTTCTAGTGGTACCCTCACCATTCTCTTCAGGGATCCTTCTCTTCAAATGGGCCAAACAGATGGAGAATAGGTGGTTTCTAAAGAGAAGGATGGGTGAAGAGAATGGACAAGGAGCCAAACCCTAGAAGAGGCTTCTGACTCGGCGACCCCAGAAGGGCTGCTTGCTTGAGAGCTCCCGGGAGGACTGGGTCATTCGAGTGGCTGAAGACGGATCCAGCGGCGGGGCCGGCCATGGGATGGGCTGATTGCAAATTTGGTGCCTGCGGCACCTTTTGGTTGGAGCCAAGCCTTCCAAGCAACGCCTGGCTTCAGAAAAAGCTAGTCCCAACTGCCCATGCCAAGTTTTTTCAGTCCAAGCCAGGCGGCCGCATCATCGGAGTGGGATGCGCGGCAATCAAGACGGCACGCGTGCACTCCAAGATGTGCAAAGTCGCGTACGTCTTCGACCTGTGACCGTGGCCGCGTTGCGTCCGCTTTGCAAAGGGCCCGCGGACTGCGGTGTGCAGAGATCCTGAGGCGAGTGGATGAAGACTACCAGGGCTTCGGAGTTGGAAAAGCCTTGACAGAGCAGATCGAGGCGCCTACCAGACCATACCAGACTGCAGCCTCAAGGCTCAAAGAACCCAGACTTTGGATGCGCCCCCAGGAGGCCTGTGCAGCCAAAGGTGCGCACTTCCTGTATTTGACCGCCTTAGCCTCAGGCGTTTGATCGGGATTGGGGCCCAAGGGCCTTCGCGGCAAGCTCAGGTCAACTCTGACAATACGAAGGCGTGGGAAACAATGGCAAGCTGCCGGGGTGTCCTTTCAAGCCATGAGCCAATAGCGACGGCTAAAAGACTGGCACAGCAAAAGCGGCACAGGGAATCAGAAAGGAGAATCATCGTTTTAGGCCGCAAACTGTTTAAGGAGCATCCGCATGGACGAGCAGACGTGCAGACACACCCACCCTCCCCTCGCCACCGACACGCTAACAAGCCAACATGCAACACGTTTCGTCGACACGCGGACACGCGGACATGCAGATACGCCACGCAGATGCGACACAGGCGAGAGGAAGCGGCCACCACGTGGGGGCGCGTACACGCATAAAATACACAAACAAACAATGATGTTTGAAGTAAGCTGCCTCTTTTTTCCAGCCTGGCGTTTGCAGGCCAGTCCCCTGCAGAGAAGGGGGGACTTAGCTAGCTGGAGAACCTGTTAGTTTTACAACACATCTTTGTTCAGGGAGGCAGCACCTGCATTCCCTAATTGCTTGAGGTTAGAGAATGGCTCTGATGAGTTGGCCACCCATTTCGTTCTCAGGTGACAGTTGTAGGTGTCGTATTGCGGAGTCTTGAGGTCCCCCCCTTTCTCTACATGGCCATGGTTCAAAACCAATGGTACCATCTTGGGATAGGTGCACCACCCATTTTAGTCCATTTTAGTGGGGATTGCGATGTTCACTGGGGGGTTTTTGACCCATGGCCATGCAACTGCGGTGGGGGGGTGGGGGTGGAACAACTCCCATGGATCCCCTTCGAAGTCCAGGCCAAATCGCTGTACAGCAAGCGGGGCTTCGTGGTGGCATCTCAGCGGCACCCGGCCCTGGTGCTGCTGGCCTTCCCAGAGCCAGAGGTGCCGAGACCGAGACCGAGATCGAGAAAGAACGAGGGTGTTCTTACCTCTTGAAAACACAACTCTTCAACTGTTTGGGTAACATGGGCTATATGTCTGTAAAAGATTAACTTCCCCAGGGCTTGGAGTTTTAAGGGGTAAGTTTTCTGAACAAGTGCGTTGAAGCAAATCTATTGAAGCAATAAGACGATGGGTATCGCTTGGCCGCACAACCCCTACGTGCAGAAACGGCCTTTAAGCAGACACCGCGCCTTTGGCATAGCCATGGGGGTGAATTTTGTGAGAGAGCTATGATTTGGAAGGGCCAGTTTCGGGCTCGCTCCTGCACTTGACTGCTAATACGGAGCGTTCTAGCTGTGGCACCTAGAGCGTGGACAAATCGAACAAAATCCACGGGCAATAAATGGTGTTTCTTTGTGAGTGGAACAGGAAAGGGACACACTATGCGCATGGAAGCCACGATTCCTACGGCCGCGCGCATCATCATGGGCTGGCTTGAGTGTTTCGTAGAGTTGGCCCTTGGATAATTCAACGGGCAGCACTATTTTCCACAAGATGCCTTCAACACCATGAGAAATGGCATTTGCCCATTCTCAAGGTCGCGCAACAACAGGCCAGTCAGGGTACGTGTATGTAAATGCATAGCAACCATACACACATTCAAACTTACTTATTTACTTGCATACTTCCTTCCCTCCCTCCCTTCCTTCCTTCCTTCCTTCCTTACTGACTTATTTGACTACTTAGAATATCGCTCCCTACCTAAATGTACGCATAAAATCCCTTGTTGGGCTGCGTGACCGCGACAACAGCGCAAAGGTTTTTCGCCAACGGTCACGCAGGATGGCGAGGTCCTGGTGGAGCAGCTTCCGAAGGCGTGGAACGTGGTTGTCAAATCCCAGGAAACCCCTGGTGAACATCCAAAAATAGGTGGCAAATGGCCATAATTGTTTCCACCATTTTCATCCACCATTTTTGTTGTTGTTCATCCACCATTTTCCAAAATGGGATCGCCATAGGTTATGCCCCATGGCCATAATACTTGCGTCGTAACGTTTTTGGGGCATTTTCGAAGCACAAGCGATACTTGCTCACTTCGCATCTATTTGTCTCAGCCGGGGGAGGGTTAGCTCAGCAGCCTTCCCAGGACAAGGCTGACAAGCTGACCAAGAGCTTTTACTCTGCAGCGGACCTGCTCCTGGATGACCTCGGGCAGCTCTTCAACTCTCCGCTCTATGAGGCAGTCCGTGCTTCTCCTTTTCTCACCGGACCACCCCTGATCTAAGACTTAGCTTTCAGAGCCTTTTCACGGATAGCCGAAATGACTCATCAAAGGGGATGACCAGGATAGCTGCCGCTTGTGTATGATCTTGCCAGAGGCTCGCATGCCACTAAATTTTAGCCTTATAATTGTGCAGCTGCCCAGCCAGTCAGCCCAGCTGCTCAACTTGGTCAATACTAGCTTCAGCAGCTTCAGTTTGGATGATGTCCAGTTGACCTTCCAGAATTCACATGTTTGACTTTGTTTCCCCGAAGTTCTGAACATTTGGAGAGTTGCAGCGATGCTGCGATCGTCCAGGGGACCTTCGTGGCACGGCGGGGTGACTCTGTGGCTGGCGTGAGTGCCTGGAATGGATGCTCGGCTGCCTTCGAATGGGCCCCTTCGAACTCCAAAGAGAACGTGTTGTTCAACGACGTTGATATTGCGCCCGCGTACTTGCGATGCAAACGATGGGCTTTGTAAGCTCAGGCAGCTATTTGACTGGCTTCAAAATTGAGCGGTTTCTGGTGCCAGTGGGGTGGTGGAAGCGACTTGGCTCTTGCATGATCGGGCGCACGCCATGTGGTTGTTTTTGCAGTTGGATATGACTTTCTGTTGGCTTCTTGTCCGGGATTGATGCAGGTGACTTTAGCAGATGTGGGCTTCAGTGCTGGGTAAGGGATGCCGTTTTCGAGTCAGACTGGGTTGCCAATTGTTTTGGGCATGTGCTGCTTGAGTTTGCTTGGATGTGTATTGGATTTGGGTGGGCGCAGCTGGTGCAGCCTCGCCAAAAAGCCTGGGCAGCGCGGTGCTCAGTAGGGAATGTGGGAATGATCCCAGGGGTCCTTTTGAAGGAAATCGCAAGGGATGGTTGAGAGGGTTCATTCCCTCATTCCTTACTGAGCACCAGAGAGTTGATTTCAACTCGCCCTAGGAGCCCTTGGCTTCAGCTTCTCATCCTGTTGGCGGGCGCTTGGGGAGGCTGGAAGTGGGCCACCGCCATGCAGGCGCAAACGGCTAGCGTGACTCTTCAAGGGGCTTGGCCAAAATCAACCTGAAGATCCCGCACACGCATAAACATTTTTTTGGTACATGTATATGTGAGACAGGTGTGTGTGTGTGTGTCGAGACTTTCAGAGAGAGAGAGGGAGAGAGAGAGAGAGACAGATATATATATATATATATGTGTGTGTGTATACTCGATGGAACGAAGGAACTATATATGGGTACCCCATGTATATAATATATATATATATATACATATATATATATACATATTTATTCATAGGTATGAGAGTCGTTCTAAAACAAGTTTTTTTTGGAATTGACGTGTACTTTGTTTTGCGGTCGCACAGGGTTCGCATCCCGGAGTCTCCGCAGCTCCGCTGCGGAAGCTTACAGCTAAAACATGACAAGTGTTTCGATCACGTTCTTTCATTAGTCGTAGCGCTGTTTTTTGCCTGCTGCGCAGAAGCTCCTCGGAAGCTGTTATATGCAACCGTTTGGGCTGAAGCTCCTCTCATGTTTTACTTGGCCATGGAGGGGCTCTTGTTTGAGGAGGTGCGGGGAAAGGGTGATCAGTTCACTTGGGTGGAAGTGTTTCCCAACCGCGCCTTTCGCACCACGTCAGAGAAGCGCGAAAAAGGAAGACTGGAAAAACAGGGCGAGCTTTCCGCGGAAGCCTGCCAGTAGAGCCGAAAAAGCCTGCATTCGGCCCGTCCCTTTTGACATTCTCTTGACGCAGCACCTGCCTCCCACTCTTGCCCGCAGAATTTGTGCGCGGCAGGGCTGAGAAGCGACTTTGGTAACAGGGCCAATATGCTTCGAAAACACCGTCTGTCGCGGAAGCGAGACGCAAGCCGATAAGTTAAAAAGGCAAGGAAGAAGACATGTAGAACACCCCGTGTGCATGAATATGCCACGTATATGTATACGTTGTATTCAACCATTCCATGGTCGGAAGAGCCCTGCGCTAAGCAGGTCAGGCCCCCCAGCATCCCAGCATGCAGCGTGACCATTGAGGGCATGCAGGCTTGAGTTGTTTGAGCACGCTACTGGCAAGGCAGCTGGCATGTCTGCGCTGCAAACGCACCGCGCTGCGCAGATTGCCGCTTTTCTTGCCATGCACCTTGGCCTGGAGAGCATTTCGTGGACGGAGCAGGGCAAATTTCAGTTTTTTTTCTCGGGCATGCACAGCCCTCCCAAGAGCAGCGGTTATTTTTTGTTTCGATTTAAAAAGTCAAAAGCAGCTTGCTGCTTGAGCAGTCCCTCAGCCGCAAGCGTACGCAAGGTTTGCAATCACCGCCGTCGGCACCTGCTGCCTTTGGAAAGCTTGGCCTGTCCTCAGCTTCATGGGGAGCAAGATTACTTCAAACGACTCAAAGATGAGGCATAGGCAAGGCCAGTGTCATGGAACCAAATGGAAGCTTACGGTGGCATACATGAGGGACAGTTCTGACATCCGGCAAAATTAGGGGTGTGTGAGTGCGTTTGTGTCGCTGTGTTTGAGCCTGTGGGCGTTTGCCATTTGCATTTCGGGCGCGCGCAGGCTCTTTGGGCCTTTTGCGTTTGGTCCGAAAGAAGATCAAGAAGAGCTGCTGCGGGTTGTGCAGAGCAGGCCGGGCTTTTCAGTGGCTCGCTGACCTTGCGTCCTGCCCAGGGTCCACAACTTAGCTCGCGAAGCTGGCTACGTTGCCCGACGGCATGTCCAAGATTTGCCGGTTTCGGGGCTGCCCGTTCATGATGTGTAGCAGATGTCGTTGGTCATCCATTGCGATCATTCTTTGGAACTCTAATGAATCCCCGTACGATGGCTCACGGATAGGCCCTGCGACCCAGGCAATGTCCATTTGCAATATTGATGCCAACCACCCGCTCAGGCCTGGCATGTTGACAGCTAGTGGTTCTGGACCCTCTAAACCTCCAAATGGTCAGACACGGGATGGCTCTTCAAAGGGCGAGAGGGACCATTCTCACATCAAATGGCGGACATGGCTGGCTTTCAATCTAGCCGCCCAATCATCCCAAAACAAGCTTCCGCTCAGTGATTGGTTTCTACCCTGCTCCCGGAGGCCATTCTTTTCGAGCAACAGATTCACCACAACGTTTATGTACAAGCAGCTCGGCCTGCGCAGCGCGGCTTCATGCCACATCTTCTTGCATTGCGCCCGAGTTGCAGAGGTCTGTAAGTGGTGCTGCGGATTTGCCGCCCTTCACGCCAGACAACTTCTTTGATCCTAGCTGCTTAGCTTGCAGTGAGAATGAGCATGCAACTGCACGAGGTGACAAAGACATCAAGCACGTGTAGCTTCTGAAAGCATGCCTTTGCCAGGAGATTTGTGATGCAGCCGCCGTCTCGGTGCAACTGCTTGAGCATGCTCGCACATGAGGTCCCCGCGCAACCAATAGCGTTTTCAGCACTACAATTATTGCTATTACTTTCGCACGCAGTATTGCTGCTACTCTTTGTTACAGCCAGTACTGCCATGGCGACTGCTACCACATGACATTGCACTACAGAGGAAGGTGCAACTGTCCAAAGGCCTGGCTGACCAAACACTTCCATTTGCGCTCGAGGCCTCACCTTGCAGCGCGTGGCATCTTCCAGCGCCAGACCGGCGGCAAAGTGAAAGCCCGAGAAGGGCCCAAGGCCATGGAAAATCGCAGCGCGGATCGGTTCAGCGGGGCCAAAGGCCCGCGCTCCCTTGGTTCGAAAAGACAGCCGTGCGCTTGCCAGCCAGCAACCTCCCGGGTGGCCACGGCATTTTGCGGTCTGCTCACGCCACCGACCATGGAGGTGAATCATATTGGTGTTGGATTTGATTGGATCATAGCTTCTTGTACATGCGGAATGCCCTCTCTACGACAAGCAATTCCCCGCACAGGACGGCCAGGGCAAATCGAAGGATGGCCAGCAGTCCAAGGACCATGCCGAATGCCGTCGCTGGGGTTTCTTTTTTGGTCCTTTGTTGGCAAGGCCATCGTGACTTGGCATAGCGAGCCAGCCGCAAAGCTTTTGAAGAGAGTGCTTGAGAGGCGTAGGCCTCAAGCATCGGGCGCATATGGGAAAGTCTTCGTGGCAACGATGCTTGGGAGCCTGCGCTCAAAAGCCCAGTTGAGCTTGTTTGCCCATAGCCAGCTTGCCGATTTGCAGTTCTGCCCCAGTCTTGAATGTTAGAAAGTGGAGTGTTGCAGGACGGCGAGGGGAAGTCGGATGACGGTGCCCGGTTGGGAGATTGGAGTGGCAGCCGGGAAGTGAGCATTGGACCCAGGTACCGCTACGCCTGACTGGTGGAGGCAGGAAAAGTCCAAGCTCCTGGACAAAAAGGCACGACCCAGTGGGGGTTGGCACGACCCAGTGGGGGTTGGAGGGGGGAGGGGGCTTGGCAAGTGGCAAGCGTACTCCAGAAGGGTGCAGAACCCTTGGTTGCTGCCAGGAGCGGGAAAAGCGAGAAAAGGCCATGGAGGAGGAAATGAAACAAATTGAAGCGAAGGAGGCGCTTGGCTTGCTCGCTGAGTGTGCCTTTTAGGTTGTGCTCCTAGCTGCATGGCACACTTGTGCAGCTGTTCAAGAGCGTGCTGAAGGTGGTGTGGTCAGCTTTCAGCATCAAGTAAGAAGCGTCAACATGGGAACTCTTCTTTCTGGGTCGGAAGGCTGCATCCGACTGCAAGCAGGTCCAGAAGAAGGAGGAGAGGAAGCGCAAAGCGCTGTGGGAGGCAGAGAGAAGAAAGGCGCATTGCCCTCTTTTTATGTGCAACGTCAAAGAAACCTACACCTATTGCAAGTGTCCTGGAGAAGGTAGACAGATCCAGCTAGCGCTAGATGAATCGAGCAGGAGCTTGGGATGTCCTTGGCCCAGGTCCAAGAAGCATTCGAAAGGAGGAAGCGGGAGGCCAATGTGCTTCGTGTTCCTTCATCCAGGCCCGCATCAAGCGTGCTCGAAGGCGGAACAGCTGCAGCTCAGAGAAGAGGAGGAGTGGCGGCAACAGCAGGGGGCTCACAAAACGTCGCTGCCCTGCCGGACGCCACGGCACGCCGTCGCGCCACCTTGCGACATGTCTCGCCTCGCACGGAATCAACCCTGCTGCAAACAATGGAGGGTAATGAGGGCACGAGAGAGAGAGAGAGAGTGAGGAGAAACAATACATTTTCGCAGGTATGCCTTCACAACAATAAGCCCCAAGGGTAAGCCAACCTTTCGGGGTCGCCACATTTTGAGTCAGTCATGTCGGTATTGGCTACCCAGATCACGAGCCATTTTGCAGACGGCGCAGCTGAGGCTTAGAGAACGAAGAGAAAAGGAGGCCAAGGAAGAGGAGGCCCCCCAGCCGAAAAAAATGCATTTTTACTGGCGGTGGTCAAAGCTACACCGAGAAAAATGCGCTTCTTAGTCCTCCCCCCCCCACACCAGTTTTCAGCCGCCTGTCTCCGCCTCCAGCGCCATGGCCGGCTCAAGGGCTTGCTTCGGTGTCGGCCAGGAGCGGGAACGTGAAAGGGAAGCCAAGAGGGAAAAGAAGCGCCTGGAAAAAGAGAAGAAGAGGAAGTTGGAAGAGGCCGGAGTGCAACTTTGCTGAGACAGCCGCTGGAGATGGAAAACAGAGACCCCAGAAGCTTACAAGCCCACACGCCCACGACAGAGCATGCAAGCAAGAATGAGAGTCTACGACGCAGGTGACTAAGTGACGTATTGTTGTGTGATTACCTCGCGCACAGTCACTGTTAGCCCACAAGAGCCAAGCTTCTTAATTATAAAAACTCAGCCGATTTGGCGTGCAAAGCAGTGATGAAAAGGAGTAATTGATTAAGAGGTTCGGACCAACACATTCATGACAGTCATTAAATGTGTCAATCATCACGGTCACACCGAACAGCTAGCTAAGACCATGATATACCCCGTTGCTTTTGAGGGCTTGCATGTTCCTTGCTGCAGGTGGAGGATGCAAAGAAGAAGCAATCAAGGGAAGTAGAGGCTTGGCTCTTGGTCAACCCTGGCAGAAGCATGGCAAACTATCAAGCCACGGCTTCCCCAATGCGTGTAGTGTTCAGGAAATACTGGCAAGGATTCATCAGCATCAAGTTTGCACAAAAGTTTGCTTCAGACATGCTCAAAATCAACAAAAAAGAGCACATGGAAGCAGAGGTCAAACACTGTGTTTGTTTGTGATTTATTCGTAGTGTTGTTCGTTGTACAGACCTGTCTCGTGTGTGTGTGCGTGTGGGTTGTTTGCATGAATGGCTTACAGCTGACTGTGTGCCTGGCAGACTGCTTGCGTGCCTGCCTGCGTGTAAGCCTGTAAGCCTGTAAGCCTGTAAGCCTGTAAGCCTGTAAGCCTGTAAGCCTGTAAGCCTGTAAGCCTGTAAGCCTGTAAGCCTGTAAGCCTGTAAGCGTGTGCGTGTGCGTGTGCGTGCGCGTGCGCGTGCGCGTGCGCGTGCGCGTGCGCGTGCGCGTGCGCGTGCGCGTGCGCGTGCGCGTGCGCGTGTGCGTGTGCGTGTGCGTGTGCGTGTGCGTGTGCGCGTGTGCGCGTGTGTGCGTGTGTGCGTGTGTGCGTGTGTGCGTGTGTGCGTGTGTGCGTGGGTGCGTGCGTGCGTGCGTGCGTGCGTGCGTGCGTGCGTGCGTGCGTGCGTGCGTGTGTGCGTGTGTGCGTGTGTGCTGTGTGCGTGTGTGCGTGTGTGCGTGTGTGCGTGTGCGCGTGTGCGCGTGTGCGCGTGTGCGCGTGTGTCTGTGTGTGTGTGTGTGGTGTGTGTGTGTGTGTGTGGTGTGTGTGTGTGTGTGTGTGTGTGTGTGTGTGTGTGTGTGTGTGTGTGTGTGTGTGTGTGTGTGTGTGTGTGTGTGTGTGTGTGTGTGTGTGTGTGTGTGTGTGTGTGTGTGTGTGTGTGTGTGTGTGTGTGTGTGTGTGTGTGTGTGTGTGTGTGTGTGTGTGTGTGTGTGTGTGTGTCTGTGTGTCTGTGTGTCTGTGTGTCTGTGTGTCTGTGTGTCTGTGTGTCTGTGTGTCTGTGTGTCTGTGTGTCTGTGTGTCTGTGTGTCTGTGTGTCTGTGTGTCTGTGTGTCTGTGTGTCTGTGTGTCTGTGTGTCTGTGTGTCTGTGTGTCTGTGTGTCTGTGTGTCTGTGTGTCTGTGTGTCTGTGTGTCTGTGTGTCTGTGTGTCTGTGTGTCTGTGTGTCTGTGTGTCTGTGTGTCTGTGTGTCTGTGTGTCTGTGTGTCTGTGTGTCTGTGTGTCTGTGTGTCTGTGTGTCTGTGTGTCTGTGTGTCTGTGTGTCTGTGTGTCTGTGTGTCTGTGTGTCTGTGTGTCTGTGTGTCTGTGTGTCTGTGTGTCTGTGTGTCTGTGTGTCTGTGTGTCTGTGTGTCTGTGTGTCTGTGTGTCTGTGTGTCTGTGTGTCTGTGTGTCTGTGTGTCTGTGTGTCTGTGTGTCTGTGTGTCTGTGTGTCTGTGTGTCTGTGTGTCTGTGTGTCTGTGTGTCTGTGTGTCTGTGTGTCTGTGTGTCTGTGTGTCTGTGTGTCTGTGTGTCTGTGTGTCTGTGTGTCTGTGTGTCTGTGTGTCTGTGTGTCTGTGTGTCTGTGTGTCTGTGTGTCTGTGTGTCTGTGTGTCTGTGTGTCTGTGTGTCTGTGTGTCTGTGTGTCTGTGTGTCTGTGTGTCTGTGTGTCTGTGTGTCTGTGTGTCTGTGTGTCTGTGTGTCTGTGTGTCTGTGTGTCTGTGTGTCTGTGTGTCTGTGTGTCTGTGTGTCTGTGTGTCTGTGTGTCTGTGTGTCTGTGTGTCTGTGTGTCTGTGTGTCTGTGTGTCTGTGTGTCTGTGTGTCTGTGTGTCTGTGTGTGTGTGAGCATGTGCCTATGTGTCTGTGTGTGTGTGCGTGCGCGTGAGTGTGTTTGTGACTGTGTCCGTGTTTGTGTCTATGTCTGTGTCGGCGTCGGTGTCTGTGTCTGTGTTTGCGTCTGCGTGTGCGTCTTTGTCTCTGTCTGTTTGCGTGTTTTGTCTTTGTGTGTTGCGCTTCATCTGCACACATGTATACACATTTGAACATCTGTGTGTGTACAGGCGCAGCGCATGCGCAAAGGCATGCACGTTGGCGTGTGGGTGAGCATTTGTGTTTGTGCGTATGTTTGTGTTGCAGCACTGGCAACCATTGTTGGCTGCAACTGGACTGAAGCAGGTGCGCCAACACAAGCTGCCAAACCCTACAGTTGAAGGCCCAGCCTATGTGCAGCAAGTTGGCTGCATGTGTTGCAGGACAAGAAGAAGAGGGAAGTAGATGACAAGGCCTACCGTGGCGGTTGCACTTGGTATTCACTTTGCAAACGCACAACGTATGGGCTGAAGCCGAAAGAAAAACACAACGTAATGGACCTGCCTGCCCTTGCTTGGGCCACCCCCCGGGTGTGACTCTTAATTGGGCATTTTTCATTGGGTGGAGTTCGGTATGAAAACCCATGTGAACATGCCCACAAGTCGAGAGTCAATATAGTCAAGGATTCGTGAGCACAGTCATGAGCCCTTGCAAGGAACTAAGGAATTGGAACCAGGGACGGCGTGGCTGCCCAATGAAAACGGTTCAACTTGTGCCGCTGCCGCTGCCGAGCTGCCGAAGCCGGGAGGAGAAGGCCAAGCGGGAAGCCTTAGAAGCCCAAAAGGCGCGAGATCTGGTTGGCGCACTGACGGCCTGATCTCCATGTAAATCCCTGGGCACTGCACACGCACACAGGTAAACTTATGCATAGGTGTAGGTTCTATTAGTGTGGACATGGCATCAGTCCCCAAAAAAGTCGTGCACACGGCTCAAGCCGCTTCGTCTGATCTCGCAAATTAGGTGGTTTCGAGAGTCAGCAGCAGCACCTCATTGGCCTCGGAGCCGGAGCACCTGTGCAGACCGGTGTTTTTGAAACAGGCTTCTGCGGGCACTTCTAAAAAAAGCGGCCAGAGCACTTGGAAGCATTTTGAAAGGTGGGCACAGAGAGAGGATTGCCGGGGGCAGTGGTGTGAATGTCTGGTTGCCTAAAATTTTGCAGGGCAGTGGAGCGAAGTACTTCGTTAGCAATTCGCACCTGACTTCAAGATCCAAGCATCTCTGACCTATTTCCTGAAAATTATTGAGGGAAGTCTTAGAAATACTAGATTCTCAATGAGCAAGCGCGTCACATCTCAGCGACACCTGATCTGCGGCGACATCAAGCGAAGGCTTTCGTTGCATCCAGCGAAGCGACGCGGCCGAAGTTCAAGGCTCTGGCCCCGAGCGCGCGTGCGCCAGGCTGCCGCGGAGTCCGCAAGGCTGCAGGCCGAGATCATGCGGCAGCTTCCGGGGCCGAATCTCATGGCAGCGCCTTGGCTGAGACCAAAGACCGGAGAGGCCGGAGAGATCCGGAGAGCCAAAGGTCGCAGTCAAAAAAGAGCCCAAAGAGCCAAAGGCCGCAGTCGAAACAGTCCAAAAGATTCCAAAAGGTTTGGAGCTTTCAAGGGACTTGGAAGTTGGATTTTTGTGGGTGGCTTTGGCCATGAGGCCTGGCAGCAGCAGAGCCTGGCCATGGCCCAAGCCCAGGTGGCCCAGGTGGCCCAGGTGGCCCAAGTGGCCCAGGCCCAGGCTCAGGCTGCGGCGGCGGCAGGCTTCGGGTGCCAAGGCTGTGGCACTCGAAAACGCCAACTACTTCTGACGCTCTGTGTGGCATTTGTGTGTTTTAGTGACTCCTGGCTGTGTGTGTTAAGGTCTATTTCCATGCCCATGATGTCCATGGTTGATTTTTTTAGTCCATGTGAGTCCTTCCTGGGCTTCTCATGATGTCCATGTTAGTAGAATGGCCGGGTTGAAAACTCATTCCGAGAAGCTGGTGCTTTGTCTGGGCAGTCGATCCAATAATCCAATACCGGCACTGCCTGTCAGTTGGGTGAATAAGCAGTGCACGGTTTTGGTACGGTGACACATACACAAAGCAGGGGATTTGCAGCGATGACTAATCAAACTCACCTGGGTTCAAGTCAGCCAACCTCCAACCTCCCTGCCGCCAGGTTGTCAGGGCTGCGGCTGCGACGGATGTTTCGGTTGCAATGGCTGTGCTATGGGCGCCATGCCCTGGGGAGCACAGGCCTGTGTACCCTATGGCCTTTTTCTGGGGATAGGCATTGTTGCTTTGGATTAGGAGGAAGATGGCAACTCATAGGGTGAAGGAGACTTGCAACTAAGTAACTACCTGTTGACAATGAATTGCATATACAGGGATATTGCTGGCAAGCAACACGTGCCCACACACACACACAAGAACTGCCAAACATCAGGCTCTTGCTGGCTGCTGCCTCGTCCAAGGGGGCATGTTAGTTCTTCTTTCCAGGAGCTTTAACACACTACACTACCAGTGCTAGAAAGCCCCCGCTGGCTTTGTGGCATCCGTGTCTCCGCTTTTCCGAACTCCGTGGCAGGGTGCATCTTTTGGTGAACCCGGTGCATCCTTCGGCGCAGGCCTGGTTTGCATAGCAGGGGTCGCAAGGAAAGGCCAAACACATGACAACTGCTTCAATCTCATGTTCAAGCCACATCCTGTTGCAGTGGCACGTACCAGGGCGAAGGACAGCAATTGCAAGCCACGGTGTGCCTTTGGAGGCATGCCATCTTGGCCACAGTGACGCCGCCTGAGTTCTGCAGCTGGAGCAATGATATTGAGCGACAGCAAGTGAGGGCATTCTGCCCAGAGAGGTGGCTGAGCAAAACGCGAATTGTATGATGTATCGGTTTTGTGCGGCTTGTTGCTTGGAAAGGTGCGAAGCTGCAGTTGGCGCATGCTGGCCAGATTTCACCTCTGCTTCCCAGGGAGGGATTGCGATATTCAATCAAGCACTGGGTGGCGATGTGTGAATATGATGCCCGAATTGTAGCCAGGCAATCTCTCCCAAGATGGATAGTTGCGGAAAGGTTTGTCCACATATGGCGGTGTCGAAGGAGTTTCAAGGGAACCAATAGGTCCTTGGCACTAGATGAGGCGTGTGCGAGCTTTGAGATCAGGCAGTGCGTTGTTTCCATGCGTTTGGGATTGGTGCGAAAGCCTGGTGCCGGTCTCCTAGCTTATTTGGGCGCGAGAAGTGTCAGCGACGTCCAGAGCGAGCGCTTAGTGGCGTTGCAGATTTGTGCTAAGAAAGGTTTCTCATGCAGAGCAGCCAACACACTCAAAGCATACAGTCTTCAACACATAGATCTATGACAGCCCCCGTCCTCGAGCACAAGCGTGCCTCCGGATCCGAGCATTTTCTGGCACGCAAGGGCGGGAGAAAAAAGCTGGCTGATCTCAAGTCCAATGCTGGAAATGTGTTACATATTTCTTTGACTCGGCCTTGCACTTTTGGCTTGGGGGTTGAAAGTGTTTGTTTTTCGCGCGGCCACACTTACGACGTTCAGCTCAAAAGCTGTGAGGCACAGCTTAGTCATGATGGCAACGGATCAAGCCGGCATTGACCATACTTGGGAGAACAGCAAAGAAGCATCGCTTGGGAGCGTGCTTCAAGTCCTTTTTCAGGGCCACACGTGTGCGAATCTCGCTTCATGTTGGGCCTGCTGCTGTGGCTTGCCGTGGGTTGCTTGGGTGAAGAGGAGGGGGCTGGGGCGTAACTCGTTGGCAATGTCCAAGTGCTGTGATTGCTTCCGTTGCCTTCCTCAAAAGCGGGCAGTTACTCAGTTGGGAGACAGGACGTGATCAACCTCAAGCTGATCGATTCCGAGGGCAAGTTGGTAAGCATCAGCTGGAATCCGATCAAGGAGGATGTGGCAGTTGTCTCCAAGCGTTATGCCCAAGCCCTCTATGAGGAGCGTGTCAAATGACAAAGGCAAGTTGAACCTGTGCAGTTTCTCCGCGCTCTCAGGAGGCGCCGGGTTGTGAGGTGCGGCAAGGGGACGAGAGCTGCGCAGCCATGGAGATTGAAGCGCGGCTGAGGCTGCGGAAGGCGCTCGGGGCTTTCGGGGGGGTTGGGGCCCGGCGGGTGAGCCGGTGGGCCACTCCAAGGGTCGTCATGGGCTTAGGGTTTAACTGGGGTTCAAGTAGGGGTTCAGCCACGGTTCAACTGCCAGAGTTCCTGACTTCCGACACCCTCTTCATCCAGCATTACGGCCAGAAATCTGGCCCCCTGACAAGAAGAAGCTTTCCCCGACTTTCTATTTAGAGTTGGACCACTGGGGAGAAAAACATATTGTGTGCGGTCCCCTGTTCCAGATTTGGGCTGCGAGCTCCCATGTTTTCTTCACTTTGTGTAGGCCCGATTCAGAAAAAGGTCCCCCAATACAACTAGAGAGGCGGGGTGTGTGTGTGTGTGGAGATGTGTGGAGTAATTGCTAATTGAGTATCAAAATTGGGCTAGTCTAACTTTGGGCCTTGGAATTTGAACCCTTGTTTCTGTTTGAGGTGGGGGGAGGTGCAGAAAGTCGTTGGGAAGGGGTTGATTGCAGAGCGCTCCAGGCTGAGATGGCGGTGGAAGCCAAGAAGAATGGCACAAAGTTTCAGGCGCCGGATGGAAGTCACGGTGGCTCCGGGAAATGGCTGTGGTTGTCAAAACCGTTTTGGGGCACAGGATTTTGACCCATGGCCAAGTCGAAGAATAAGAATAATAATCGAAAAGGCGCATGCCTGTGTGCTTCACTCGCGCAACTGAACTTCATATATGACTGCAGGCGAAGCACTTCTTACCCTTCCAGGGCAGGAAGATGCGTCTGCCTTTTCAGGAGGAAGCAGCTGCGATTGCACTGTACAGTGGCCATGACGCCAGCATCGCTGTGGGCATCAATGGTCGTATTCAATGCGTTCTAGAGCTCGAGCGGTTATTTGGTCAACGTGGCTTGGCTGAACACAAATCCACAATGAGGGCATTGGCTGTAGGGTGCCAGCTTGTTTTGGTTCGGTGGTTGGCACTGGTTGCCACCAATCGCAAGAGTGTGTCCAGGCTATGGCTGTTGAGCGAGGCCGTTGCTCTTTGATTTTGTTTGCTGCACTTGGCTGGCTGGTAGCTGAAACCGCCACGTTCCGACCAGGCTACTATCAGCCCCCATCGGACCCCGAGCAAGCCAGGAAAGAGTGGCTACAAGCATTGGAAATCGTGCGAGACTTTTGCGAGTGCGAGGGTGGAGAGTGCCCAATCCGATTTAAACATGGAATTATCGTGGACAGTGGTGGCAACACTGGCGGACAGCTGCGCGCAACTTGGCTGGAGAAAGTTACAGTTGTGGCGTTTTGTACGTGTTGAGTTCGTGTCGAACTCGTTTTGTGCCCGTGCCTCGTCGGTGCTTGAGATCATGCGTTTGGCCCAAGCAGGACCTGGTGATGATGCATTTTACAGTTGAAGACTGGCACTTCGTTGACCACCAGACCGCACATGCCTCGATGGGGATGTATGCCTCACCTTTCCGGTCTGCACTGGTGGTTGCTTACGATGCTGACTTTATGGCCTTTGTTGCTTCCCACGGGAAGCTGGAACCCGTAGCACGCTTGGACTACAATCTTGGTACCACGTACATTGTTCTAGCGACTTTCCTGCCAGAGGTGTCTGGTGTCGATGAAGAGCTTTTCGGGGAGATGTGTGAGTGGGGTGGAGACGGCCCGCTGTTTCCCGCCATTAAGCTGGACTGGGCGGGCAAGCTCATGGGATACGCCGCCACGGGCAAAGCCCGACCAGAGGTCCGAGAGACGATCAGGCAACTGTTCGAGAGCTCCGGCGCCATGCCCAAAATGTCCCCAGAAAA